CAATATCTACCACAGCACCATTCTTACAGCAATTGGAAATATTTATTTTGGATAATAATTTTATCTCATCTGCCAAATCTCATTCAGGAGTCTGGATGACTGCTTTTCCTAGGGAAATTTTACAGGAAAAAAAAAAAAAATCAGTTAAATAAACTGCAGTCGGCCATCTTAACTAGTCATAGTTCTCACATCTGCAAATTATGCTTAAGTCTGTTACACTTTCTAGAGTTCGTGTGGTTTCAGCCAGCCTTTAGATTTCAAACCCCAAAGAGCATTATTCCCTGATCTTCATGCTGGTTTCAAGCCAGGGCTGCTAGACCTGCTCATTTCTGCTCAGAAATAATCCACAGTCCCAAGATACACCAGCTCAGGTTTTCTCACATTGCTAACCTGTTCCCTACTCTATCACAGCAGCCCTATACCGAGATGCAAGCTCTCTTCCTTATTCCTCTTCTCTTGGCCCATGGAGTACGAGTTTGACACAGAACAGTCATAGCCTAAAGTTTAAGAGGCTCTTCCTTTGGGTCTGCAGTGGAAGGATTCCCTCCTCTCCAAAGCAGGACCACCACATCCAAACCACCGCTGAGCCACAGGGAAGAGAACCGGTTATGTTCGAATGCAGATCACTCCTCCTTGTACCCCTTCAGAACAGTGTCACCGCTCCTGGGCACAGCCCTATAAAATGGTCCTAAGAATGCACATATACTGCACACATCCCTGAAGTTGCAATGTACAGTATGACATCTATTCTTGCATTGCTTCATCTCAAGCTATCAACTCAGCTGTACTTTCAAGCAGATGCTTCATTGTCATGCCAGGATAGTAGTTCTTGTTGTGGGATTTACGATGGAACAAACAGGCTCATCATCAAATTCCCAGTGCTGTCTCCTATACTGCGAAGTTCCTTCGAGCTCCGTTTATGGCCCTCCCTCTATGTTCCACTGACACTAGATAATTGGGCCTGGTAGAGACTGACAGCATCATCCAAGAACATCAAATGACAGTGGAGCCAGAGTTGCCTACTGTGACCTTCATCTGTCAGATCCATTGAGTCACTAGGTCATACCGGCAGTAATCCATCATAAAATGGAGGGGGACGTAGAGGATGGACCAGACCTAAAATGGCCTCCCCTGCAAAAAAAAACCCAAAGTAGGTGGCTCCTGTTTGTATGTCCAGCAGTGTGTGAAAAAAGTGTCTCAACATTTTCTCTCTGAAAAAAAGAATATCCTGATTTACATCAGTGTTGTAAATAGTCCCAACAGGACTTTTGTGAAGAGCTGGCCAATCATGTGCACATCCGGCTCTCATGGGAACTTCTCATTCATCCCATTTCTAAAGCTGCATGGGGTGGATGAAAGCCCCGTGCCTGGCTGCCTAACTCTCTGCTACAAAAGATATGGCCTTCTTCAAAACTTTAAGGGTCTACATTTTGAGTTCCTTATTAGAGCACGGCATAACCTCCACATAGTACCCTTCCCGGCACAGAAAACTAATATCTCAGGGACCACTGGGTTGGACAGCCCTGTGGCAGAGCCATGTGTCTCCCATGCCAGAATAGATGCAAGCTTCTTCCTTCCTGCTCAAGGCAGCTTAAGCCAGACAGCCCCTAACATCACTTGATAAATGAGTCCAGGAAGTAGCCCCACAGATGAAAAAGGTTGTATTGAGAACACAGATGCCCACAAGCATTGTGCTTACTTCTTACGAATGAGAGGGGAAAAATGTAATAATTTGTTCTTTTCTTTAGAAGAGAAATCTCAGCATGACACGGCCTACTGGATACTCTAAAAACCTCACACATGTGGCAAGAATCTAAATCTCTTCAGGGTTCATCTCTTCCTCTCTGGAAACATGTGTCTTACCTGTTCTCACTCATCTGGATCAATCAATCGAAGTTATTGCTATAATGAGCCAAAGTGATGTTCTTCAGACCTGGATAGTCCAGATCTCTTCACACTAAATTAATAGAGGTATTCTTGTCCTTATAGATGATCAAACCATTTCAGTTCTTCTTCCTTGACAATGCATTTTCTAGAGCTGTGGCTGCATACCAGAGGCCCATACCAGACAAACCACCACCCTTGGCAAAGCAGTTACCATTGGAATACCTAGTTAATTGAGGTTTTTTATTTTGCTTGTTTTGGTTTGTTTTTTGTTATTCTGATGGAGGCCCTGGCTTATCCAGAATGGCTTTTTGTGTAGACAGCACTGAGGACTTAAAGGGGAAACAATGCAGAATTACCTGTGCATTTTTTCAGTCTCTAGATTGATTGTACCAAGTGGTACCATGGCTCCTGAAACCCTCTCCCTGCTTTTAGGATAACATATTGTTTTGTTTTGTTTTGTTTATTTACTGCAGTGACTGAACGCATCACTTTCAGAGACTCCTACTTGGCCATTTTCACTGCAGCGGATTTTACTCACAGGCTGCTCGTCTCACTCTCTTGGGTTGCCACATTCTAATTTTTCACCCCTGTAGTTTTCTCAGGCCAGAATGCCTCTGACAGTGATTTTTGGCTTTGCTACTTACTATAATACTTACATCCAACATGCTTAAGATGGATTAGGGATGCCATCACGTCTCTGCTACTCTGGGGTCCCACCACTCTTATTGTCACTAGAGCCAGGTTTATAGCATCATTTTATGTTATCAGAGCTGGCCTAGAGAGGACAGTCACCAGTGAATGTTGCTGGTGCCCATTTCAAATCAACAGTTACCTTGGGTACACGTACAGAGGGAGGAGTTACAGAAAAGGCACAGAGCAACTTTTCTGCGAGTGTGGAAATGTCCAGTATATTGGCTGTAGAGGTGGTGACACACGTATAAAATTCATTGAATTGTACAATCTACAGATAGTTCATTGTACACAAATTTTAACTCAATAAATTGCTTTAAAAAAGCCTAATAATGAATTCATAGTTAAAATAAAGTCTAACACAGAAAAGGCTAAATAAGAAATGGTTTTTATTTAAAAAGATCAGTTTCAAAGTAGTTGCTCAAATTACCAGATTATAGGTATGCAAGATTGTTCAAATAATTAAACATTAACTGTTCCTTTCAACAAACCATTAAACAACAATATGCAATACAGCAACCATTGTTAATTTCCTATCATCTTTTTTCGGAATTCTGTATTGTTTTTATTGTTTCTGTGTTGTTTTGTTTTTGTCTTTGTTTTTGTTATTTTGTTTTTGTTCATGTCTCTTTAAAATAAAGTTTTAAAGATCAGCTTGTCTAGTACAATATGATAAAAGAATATTTTGAAGTTTTTATTAACATATTTAATATTCTTCATAAAGTGTCACAAAAATATTAAGTAAAAATGATCAACCACTAGCTGACAGGGTGTAATCTTTCATATTGATTGTATTTTTAAATTCTATATGACGTTTAAAACCTTTAAACGAAGTGCATGAAAAGATGAATCACAATTTCCTCCTCCAAATTGGTAGTTAACAAAATCCAGCAATGAGGCTTGAATTCGTGCTCTTAATTTTAGGGTCATAAATGGTGTATTGTTTATACATAAAATTAATTATATTACACTAAAATAATGTCTTTTATTGCTCAATAGTTTCACATTTATGAAAGCACTTAAAACATTTAAAATTAAAATCATTCTGCCCGAAGAAACACTGGCCCAAGATGGTCAAATGTTACTTTTGCAAAATCTTTGAATAGTGTACTGTATGTCTGCTCCTTCGATGATTATCTAATTATTCATGGATTAACAATAAGAAAACACTAACAGTATGACAGCGATTTCAAATCACTTCAGAGAAGTTTAAAGTCTATCCACCAACCTGAATATCCTTAATGTCTATTAATTCTGCCTAACGTGTTTATCGTGTTTGTTTGAATATTAGACTAAATGTTTTTCATCTTTGGCACATAAACCACCTCATTCCAAGGGGCAAGTTTCCTTGCCATGGAAATTAACATTGGTTGGGGCTGGGGATTTAGCTCAGTGACACAGCGCCTGCCTGGCAAGTGCAAGGTCTTGAGTTCAATTCCTGGTACCAGAAGAAGAACAAAAACAAACAAAAACAAACAAAGAAATTAACATTTGTACTTTAAAATGTACATGGAAAACAAAAAAAAAAGACACACTGTCAAGGCTATTTTGACATGAAAAATGATCAAGGAGAGATTTTCTCTACCATATATCAAGATGTATAATATTGTTTTATTAACTAAGATATAATAATTAATCGAGGGTCCTATTGGAAAAGAGTCCAGAAGTAGTCCTACAGATATTTGGCAATGAGTATGTGACAGAATTGTAAATCTTCATAGTCACTCCATTCTTAATTCCCAGACATAAAAGTATTTTCTTTCTCCAAACAGCTCTTTGCATAATAAGGGATACAATAATAGTAGCAGTAAATAATTACTAAGCCAAAATTAACAGTTGCATGCTAAGTGCTTTAAATGCATTATTTCATTGAATCATAACATTGTGAAGTAGGCACTATTATTAGCTATATTTTAGAAATGCCGAAAAATGAGACATCAAAAAAATTCTGAATATTTCAACATCACAGAAATGTAAAGTTTTTGTTCATATGGTTCAATGAAAAGTGACATAAAGGGGCTGGGGATTTAGCTCAGCGGCACGGCGCCTGCCTGGCAAGCGGAAGGTCGTGAGTTCAGTTCCCGGTACTGGAGAAAAGCCAAAAAAAAAAAAAAGTGACGTAAGTCCAGTCTTCACTTAGAGTGAAATAAGCCATGCTCAAAAGTCAAATATCACATTTTCTCTCATATGTGGAATCTAAAAAGCTAAAGAAATTAATTTTAAAAGATAACATGAAAATACAAAATAGATTTTTTTTTAATCTTTTTTGTTTTTTTTTTCCCGTACCGGGAATTGAACTCACAACCTTGCGTTTGCCAGGCAGGCACTGTGCCGCTGAGCTAAATCCCCAGCCCCAAAATAGATTATTAAAATGGGGGATCAGAGAAGAAAGGACGGAGGGGAATTAATGAGAGGGTGAAAATGATCAATTTATGTTATATTGCCAAGGGCCATTCTATATAATTTTGGGGGAAATCATTCCATAATTAAATTGTGATTAGGCCTTGTCTGACACCTATATCTTGCTGTGCAAGTCAGCTATGGTATGCAGAAACGTAACTCCGTGTGTGTGGTCACAGCTGAGGTCTTAAGCGTCCCTGATGCTGTGTTGCCCCAGGGCAAGATTGCACCTGCTGAGGACATCATGGATCCTTGAGAACTGAGTAGTAATAATAAAAGATTTCACCCTGGAGGAAAAGACAAACTTCTTATTAACCTGCCATCTCTCCCTACTATCCCCATCCACATAAAGATCCTCATTAGCTTAAGATCGCTGCTCTCTGAGTCATCCGATAACCCCTCACCATTTTCCTCAGTGTAAATGTGATCAATAAATACCGAGGTCCTGGCTGCCTCATGGCCTTTTGTTCCCCATGAACAACTGGCCATCCCAGATCCCTGCTGCATTACAATTTGTCTCTTGCTCTTTCTTTTCATCGTGTGCTGTAACATCTTGTACGAAACTGGGGACTCACTACAGGGGCCCCTAACACTATGTTCGAGTAAGAATATGGCAAAGTGAAACCTCTATCCTGCATAATCAATATATACTCCTAAAAAGAGAAGTGTGTAGCTATGACTCAGACTCTAAGGAAGCAATACTTGCAATGCATGTATTCATCAAGGGATTAATATCTAGAATACATAAATACCTCCTACAAGGCAATTTTTAAAAAGACATTTAAATAGACATGTGAGCAAAATATATTAGTATTTAGTACATGGTAATGAAGACCAAAATATGAAAAGAACTCTCAACTTCACTAGTAATAACAAAAATGGAAATGAAAAATATTAGATTCCATTGCATACCTATTAACTTAGGGAAAACATAAAAGTCTGACAAAATTTAAAAGTGTCATTTGCTGATGTGAGAAGGCAAGTTTATAATACAACTTTGAAAGTGAACTGGCACTACCGTCTGTGGGTTCCACCAACTATAGATCAAAATATTTGAAAATTGAGTCTCTACTGAACACGTACATTTTTCCTATTATTATTCCCTAAATAATACAGTAGAACCACTATTTATGTAGAATTTACACTTCATTAGATATTACCAGTAATCTAAAAATGATTTTATATATATATGAGGATGTCTATAGTTAGATGAAAATACTGTACCATTCCATATAAGGGACTACAACACCCATGAATTTTCCTATCCAAATGGGGTCCTAGAACCAACAGCAACTGAGGAAGGTGTGTATATAGTTGGACTGAACTTGTCTGTGCCAGATGACACCACAATTATCCTAGAAATAGTTCTCTGAAGAAATTTCATTTATGCACAAAATAAGACATGTTACATGAATATTCATAAAACATTTTTGACATAGTAAATAGTCATCAATAGATAAACATAAATAAGTTGAGAAACACTTCTGATACATTTTAAAACAATGAAAATAAACTTGCATCACTTTAAAGCACTGAAAATAAACCTGTCATCCTGGATGAATCTCATACCGTTGACTAAAACAGCATTTTACAAAACACTTATGCTATACAATATTTTGATACAAATTTGTCACATTTGATTACTCTCTCCCTAGTTCAATACATATTACATTGGGTTTTCTAATCACAATCTCCTAGGTGTTCTTCTACATCACTGGCAAGTTCTTAGTTTCTTTTCTCATTCCATTTTATTTCAAGATTTGTTAATGCTGGAAGGTCAAAAGAATATTCCATAAGACATTTTTGTCTTATCATTCCCACTATTTCTTTTTTATATTTATTTTAAAAATAAAAGGAGAAAAACATATTAACAAACAGACATCCCTTTACAAAATAGCATAAGAACAATACAGGCAATACAGAGTTACAGACAAAGTTGTAAGAAATTAACAATGGTAGTTGTATTATGTATTGAAATCTTCAAAGTGGTTTCTCAGGAAAACAAATAGAGACATGCAATATTCATTAAACAAGTAATCATTAACTGTTCTTTTCAGTAAGGCAGTAGAAGACAGTAGTACAACTATGTTAGCTATCCTGTATATACATACTTACATAATTTCCCCTTCTTTCCCTTCTCTTTTCCCACACCCCAGTTGCCCTTTTCTTTTGAGCATTTTCCTTTCATTTCACAATGTCTATCATACCTCTTAGTGTTTATTCACTCTTTCAGGTGTTACACTAGCGAGACAATATGTTGCTTACACATGCAGGTCTGATTTATTTCACTTATGAGTATGGTCTCTAGTTGTGACCATTTACCTATAAAAGCTTCGAGCTTATCTTTCTTTATAGCTGAGTAATATTCCATTATATAAAAGTACCACAACTTTTTTTATCCAATCCTCAGTGGATGGACATTTGCATTACTTCCACAATTTAGCAATTACAAATTGTGCTGCTATGAACATGGGTGCACATATATAGCTGTGATATGATGCTTTCAGATCTTCTGGGAAAATACCTAGAAGGGGAATAGCTGGCTTGAATGGGACCTCTAGACCTAGTTTGCTGAGAAATCTCCAAACTGATTTCCACAGTGGTTTCACCAGTCTGCATTCCCACCAGCAGTGGAGAAGGGTTCCTATTTCTCCACAGCCTCGCCAGCATTTTTTATTCATTGATTTCTTAATGCTAGCCATTCTTACTAGGGTGAGATGAAATCTCAACGTTGTTTTAATTTGCATTTCTCAAATGACTAATGATGTTGAACATTTTCTCATGCATTTATTTGCCATTTGTATTTCTTTACCTGAGAAATGTGTATTTCTTTTTTATCTTGCCTCTTTTCATGGGCTCACATACCACCCACACACTAATGACTACTAGATGATCTTCAGCCTGTTCTCTAAATTCCAAATCAAACTTCTAATAGGACTTCTCCACTTGGACTTCTAATAGGTTCCCAAACAACACCTCCAGACACTCCCCGCCAGCTGCCCTTGCAAACTAGATCTGTCCTCAGTATTCCTCAGTGCAATTAATGGCGCCTGAATTTTCTTGATGTCATACTTGAACAGATAGAACTACTTGTCCTAACATTTCCTGAATTTTTCAGTGTTATTTAGTTTGTTTCTCTAGTCCCTGGATTTCCAGTGAATTCTATGAACCTGGTCAGATTCAAATCATGGTAAAACTGAATGATGGTGAGTTAAATTAATGACAACCTGATCTTTGCACTGTCTACCTGTACAAAGTGGGCTGTCTGGTGTACCTATAGGATTGTATCGGTCTTCCATTGTAGTTAATAAATTATCATATACTCAGTGGCTTAAAATAACACAAATTTATTATCTTGTGAAAGTAGCGCTCAGAAGTCTCAAATGGATGGGGAGGGTTAGGGTTCCGGGGGAGAATCCATGTCATGCTTTTTCCTGCTTTCAGGGGCTGTTCGTATTGCTTAGCTCAGTAACCTGCAGCACTTTGACCTTTGCTTTTATCAGGTCTTTCATCCTGTGACCTGCCTGCCTTTCTCTTCTTTTTTTTTGCTTTAAAGAGAATTTAAAGACACAATAAAAATGATACAGAATTTCAAAACAAGGTGATAGGAAATTAAAAATGGTTAGTATATTGCATATTGTTATCTTAAAGTAGTTGCTCAGATCGCCAGATATATGCATGCAAAATTGATCAAACAATATAAGCACTAACTGTTCCTTTCAATGAACTAATAGAAATTAGTAGTACAATTATCTTGGCTATCTTGTGTATACGTACATATCTTTTTTCCCCTTCTTTCTTTTCTCTTTTCCCTATCCCAGTTTTTCTTTCCTTTTGAGCAGTTTCTTCCCCTTTCACAATTTCTATTTTACCTTTTGGACCTTATTTACTCTTTCAGTTCCTTTTGCCTTCCTTTTATAATCTCTTTTGGCTCAATCACATCTGCAAACTTCCTCCTGTTATAGAAGATGTCATAGTCACAGATGTCAGAGCCAGAGTGTGACAATCCTCAGGGTGAGAGAGGACATTTTTCTGCCTGCCATAAGCATCATTGAAGCATTTGTCTCCCAACAGTCACTTACCCAATGGTCTTAACACCAGTACTAATCTTTGGAAGGACAGCAAAATGATAATTTGCTAAAGTACAGCAAGACCTTTTGTTAAATCTGAGGTTCAGGTACCACAACAAAAGTGTGAAAGCACACTTAGATCCTCCCTTTTTATTTCCATTTTTCAAAGTGAAAAGCTGGTTTAATAACAGTTTCAAATTATGACAAATGAATTTCAATGCTTCTTTCTCTTTTGGTCTCAATGATCTGTGCTGAATAAATGCAATTTCATCAATTGTAATAATCATTCTTTTTTATGAATATTGTCACAATTTTGGCCATTGGGAGTTTCTCTGAGTTGGCTCCTGGGTTCTTTGACATGACTCCATTAATCTTTGAAGCCTCCTTGATTTTAGGCATAATTAGATGTCTCAGGACCACCTTGTACTGTCCTTGACCCACATTTCCAGTCAGTCATTTCTCCACGAAAAATAGTATTAGAGGACACAACCCTAGTTCTATGGATAATTATGGTTACTAGGGTGAAATTGTTTCTAAGTAATTTCAGTGAACAGAGCTATATACTTAAAATTCATGACTTTATCCTGATATTTGCCAGGCAATTTCCACCTTATATTTTCCCCTATTTTATTCTATTCTTTTATACATTCTAACTTATACTAAAATATAGCTGTACTGTGTTATAATAACATAGTCATTATTTTATTCAATAATGAAAAGAGAACATAACATTAACAATACAGTATTACTTTTTAAATGTTAAACTACTGCCAGCAAAGTTTTTTTTTAGATATAGCCACAACTATTCAAAAATTTATTGTAGAAATGAACAGGACCTAGACTGACTGCAATAATTTTGAGAAAGAAGAATGAAGTGGGAAGAATCACTCTGCTCAAAGTCAAGTCTTACCATGCAGCCACAGTAATTAAGACAGCATGGTATACGCAAAGGAATAGACACACAGATCAATGAAACAGAATAGAAAGCCAGAAATAGAACCACACAAATATACCCAACTGAGTTCTGATAAAAGTAATTCAATGGAGGAAGGACGGACTTCTAACAATGGTATAGGTACAAATGGACGTTCTGAGGTTAAAAAAAAGAAAGAAACTCAACATAAACTTCACACATTATACAAAAATTAAGTTGAAATGGATCTCAGATTTGTGAGTGAAATATAAAATTACAAAACATTTTAAAAATAAGAAATCAT